TGGCGATCATGATTTGATGTTGTCGGAGAAAAGTAGATCTGGAATCTACTTTTACTATTTACTTTTATCTTGATATGATGTGATATGACTTTATACTATTTACTTTTCTATCTTTTATGTCGGTGCTGTATCTTTATGTCTTGTCATGGTGACAGGTGGGCTTCCAAGGGAATCTTTCACTATTGGATGGATTTGATTGCTGACGTGTTGACGATAAGAAGGAATCTTTGTGACATTTGATATGATGGCTACTCGGGTCGGGCTATGTTTAGTAATGAGATGGTTTTTGTGACATCCCATGGGCCGACTGTTCTTCTAAATCTGGTTCTGTTGAGGTTGATTCTTCTTGAGCTGTCTCAGCTTCTTCTGAAAATATCTTTGGTAGCTTTTTTTCAAGTTCTGCTTTTGTTGCCTGTGGGTTCTTTCTTTTCATCATAGATATATATTCAGAGAGATTATTTGGGTTGTCTGATGAAGTTGATATATTATCTAGTGGTATTTGTTTAAGGATAATATTATTAGGCTCAAGTTGGTGATAGACAAAGACGTCCCACCATTTTACAGATATCTGTTTTTCCAAATATGGTATATAATGGTAATTATTGGTTATATTGGGGGAAATTGCATATTGCCATTTGAGTATCCATGGTATCTGGTATAATGCAAAAAAATACATATGATAATTTATATTGGGATTGCTCCCGTTAAATTTTATGAAAGTGTCTTGAGAGGTTTGCAAGGTTGCGGGCATTATTTGAGTTCTGGATCCCCATATCATGAACCAGTCCTTGAACCAGTTAGGAATGAGTATGTTACTGGGAGTTTCACCATCACCAACAAGAACTCTGGTACCATATTCTCCATCTGACCCAAATAGTCCAGTTTATTCCATATACTCAAGCCAACCTCCTCTAATATCTCCACGAACACCATTATTTTTACAATCCTCTGTCCCAAGAAAAGCAACAACCAAATTTCAATATGAAGCAACCGCTTTTATTGATGACATCATTATAGAAAATAATCAAATGGCTGAAAACCCAAATATTCTAGCCAGACATTTGCTTTGCAATAATCTTAATCATTCTCTTGGTATCAAAACCAGAGAATGGTTTGAGATGATACTACTTGAAATAGTATCAGTCACTATTGTACACTACTACCAAAAGAATTCAAGAATAATATCATATTCCAAATTACAGATAAGAAAGATATTACATTTTCATGATTGGAGCTCTGATCCATCAAGAGCAAAAAGATTAATATCCCCAGAATTCCCAAATAAACATTTTAGATATTCAGAATATATAAAAGCTTGGCATAAAATAAGATTCTCACTATTCAAAACCAATACTATTCTCATACTTGGTTCTTACAGTCCAAACTCCCATTAACATACCCATTTCCTAACTGGTTCAAGGACTTGTTCATGATATGGGGATCCAGAACCCAAATAATGCCCGCAACCATGCAAACCTCTCAAGACACTTTCATAGAATTTAATGGGAGCAATCCCAATATAAATTATCATATGTATTTTGTTGCATTATACCAGATACCATGGATACTCAAATGGCAATACGTAATTTCCCCCACTATAACCAATAATTACCATTATATACCATGTTTGGGAAAACAGATATCTGTAAAATGGTGGGACGTCTTTGTCTGTCACAAACTTGAGCCTAGTAATATTATCCTTAAACAAATACCACTAGATAATATATCAACTCCATCAGACAACCCAAATAATCTCTCTGAATATATATCTATGATGAAAAGAAAGAACCCACAGGCAACAAAAACAAAACTTGAAAAAGAGCTACTAAAGATATTTTCAAAAGAAGCTGAGACAGCTCAAGAAGAATCAACCTCAGCAGAACCAGATTTAGAGGAACAGTCAGCCCATGAGATGCCACAAAAACCATCTCTTTACTAAACATGGCCCAACCCTAGTAGCCGTCATATCAAATGTCAAAAAGATTCCTTCTTATCGTCAGCACACCAGCAATCAAATCCATCCAACAGTGAAGATTCCCTCGGAAGCCCACCTATCACCATGACAAGACATAAAGATACAGCACCGACATAAAAGATAGAAAAGTGAATAGTACAAAGTCATATCACATCATATCAAGACAAAAGTAAATAGTAAAAGTAGATTCCCGATCTACTTTTCTCCGACAACATCAAATCATGATCGCCACCTGTCCAGACTAAAGGCATCTTTTCTTTTACAGCTCATCCTCCACAAGTTGGACATTCCATTCCAATTAAATGAATTTGGCATTCGCCCTCTATATAAGGAAGACTGAGGCACTCCCTAGAGCAGAGTCCTCTTCTTGCTCTCAGCTCCTCGCTCCCTGCTATGCCTTTCTCCCCCTCTTAAAAACTTTCTTTTTCCCTGCTCTTCTCTATCTCATATAAGCTCTCTCTGCACTCTACTTAGTGAATCTCTTGTCTTTCTGTTTATATGTGTGACTGTAATTGGGAGAGTCTCCCAATCTATTGTCCTCGTGAGTGGAAGGCATTCTACAGCTACTGCATCTGCTGACAGTAAGCTTTCTTTCTTCTCTCTGTTTTTCTGTTTATCTTTTATGTAAGTTTTCTATAGTTTGTTAGAGTCTGTAATTTTTCATAAAGTCAGTTTGAATGTGTAATAAGTCACAGTAAGTCATAGTAAGTTTGTATTCACAGTTGGTTTCATGTAACTATTATTCTCAGATATTCAATATACAGTTAGTTTAAATGTTATTATGCAATTTAGAAATGTTTTGAGTATAAAAGTGTATGAATCATCTTATACCACTTGGCTGTTAGTAGACATATCTCCTTTTTCATTATTTATCTTCATTATTCTATTCTTATACTTAGGATATTTTAGATTATTAGCATAAGGGTTGATCTTGGCCAAATGAAGCCAAGATCTTGTACGCCCAAGTACGTACTCTATATATATATATGTGTGTGTGTGTGTGTGTGTGTGTATGTGTGGGAAAAGATCTTATACGCCCAATTATGTACTACTACAGTAAACGCCCACAGCCTAGATTGAATCTGGACCGATCTGACGTTCATGGATGTCTGATAGTATTTGAATTTAAATGTTTTTTTCTAAAAATCCAAATCCACTTGAAATTTTAGACGTGTGTTCTTCAAAAATAGGCGAATCTACAAAAAATATCAAAATAAAAATTTACATGAAATAAATTGACTAAAACATCCCCGAAAGGTTTCGTAGGGTATTTTGAACAATTTGTTTTTCATGAATTATTATTTTTTATTTATTAGGTGGGACTTGATGAGAACACACACCAAATATTTCAAGTGATTTTGATTGTAGAAAATAAATTAAAATTCAAACACTATCAGATATCCGTGAACGTCAGATCGGCCACAGAATGACCAAGATTCAATC